CCCCCAAAGCTAATAATTAATCTTTTTGTGCATCCTGTATCCAAAAAATGGTTTTCAAAGAGATCATAAATATATCTATGCACACAATAAATGTATTACAAAATTTGCAGTTAAGAAGAACATTTTCACTTTTTTAAATACCCATTTCCCACCTTTTATTCTCCATTCACCCCTCTAGCCAATCAAAAACTGAAGATAATGCTGTAATCAATTTACAAATAAAAACATGCACCCAGTCAGAATAGGTCTCAATAATGCATAGCAGAAAGACTTGCATAGAAACAAAATCTGAAATGCATCAAAACACATCAGGACAAAAGATATAAATGCAGTGCTACCAGGAATGTGTTCATAGAACTTGCATGCCCTGCCAAAACCAATTTAGCAGAAAAAGTACTGATGGCTTATTTTTTATTTACCTACAAAGCACAACCTATTTGTTGTAGATGGAAGGATAGCCAAGCTATGGAAACTCTATATGCTAGGTCCCTTCTACATTCATGATGAAGGATGATAACTATTTCAGAGCTTAAAAGAACATGTGGAAAATGAGTTCCATGAAAACACAAAGCCTAACATACATGAACACTTACAGTGCAATCTATAATTTTTTATAGTTAATTTTCCATATAAAATAATGGAACATTATGATCATACCAAATTTTAAACCTCAGTACTCCCTGGTGCAACATGATGAATTCAATTTACTGAATAACAGCTTGAGTTTTCTTTTGACTTCTAGCAATTAATTAGGTGCCAAAGTGTTTTTGCTATGAGCAATTAACAGCTATATATGCTCCATTTGCTAATGTCTACTTCAAAGGAGTCATCTGCCCTTAATTTGGCAAATGGTCCAAACTACAAACTTTATTGCTTCTGTAAATTGTTGTGGCTGCAAGTCAACAGAAGAAAAATTTAATTAGTCTTTCACTGCTTATCTATTATGCTCCTTGTAGTAGTTGGGTATTTTAAGGTTTTTTTTCCCAAAGTGCAATTACTTGAGAAAAGCTGTATTTTTGCTGTAACAGATCCCGAATGAATTGCAAATTCAACACAGTACTGGTAAAATGACCATATAATTGCCTTTTTTAAAAATCACCATGGAAACCATATTTATATAAGAATAACTCACCAAGAAATTTTGATTCTACATAATATCCACAGGTTTTCAATTCACATATAAAACACCACTCTACACAAAAAAGACTCTAGATACAAATTCACAAGTGAAACTCACAACTTATGGGAAACAAATTCAGTGCTTACCCACTATAAGATGGCTACTGCTACAAGGAATGCACAAGAAGTAAATGGAATCTAAAACCATACTCATGACACTTTATAATGGGAACTGTGTTATAATGAAGTGCCTGATAGCGAGGTACTGCTATTAATGGTTCAAATATGTATCAAGTTATTTCTCTAATAGACAAGTGAATTTTGTGTGTGATGTCTGATTTTGATTTTTAATGTAGCTTTAACAATTTTTCAGTCATATCACAACATGTCTGCTGTGTGACAGTTTAAAGTGATGTTTAGCAATGGGGCATGATGCCACAGACATGCATCACGCCTTAGACCCAGTCACATTATTTTGACACCAGGCCACCAGTCCTAACTCTAACTTCTTAATGAACGTCAAGTGAGGCAGCTGTTAGTACCATTTCTGTAAGTAGTTGTCAAACTCCTACACCAATTGTGAAGGGTTTTTATTTTTAACATACAAAATACAAGGAGCAAGAATTTTTTTGTTACTGACAAATTATCAAATACTGTATTTTACACAACAATATGTATTTTTGCATATCCTAGTTATCAAGAAAATTAACTTTAATAAACAAATTCTTACTATTGTAACTGGCTTATGAAACTTCAAATAAATGGCTATTCATCATAATCTGTGACACTGCTACTGTGCCACTTTTAAAACAGCAAGTGTCAAGAATCTTGGAAAGACAACTTGTCCACAGACAGTTACTTGCAACATAGCATTTCTTTTAACCTCTGAGTGCTGATCCAGCTCTTTTTATTCCTGAGTGATATTAATTTCAAATTTGGCCATATTCGTGAAAAAATCAGCACCATTCAACACTGAAACTAATTTATAAAGCCAATGCCACCATACTAAAACTCACTGAAAATTACACACATATCCAGGTATACTGTATGACAGTATATCACAAGTAAAAATCTATATTTTGCACATAACACCATGTAATGTGTGAATGATGGATGTCTTCAAGATATTGGTTGATTATTCCCCTCTTGTCTTCGATTTTGTTGGATTCAGTTTCAGTCAGATAACATATTCAAACCTTTGAGCACAACCAAACACAATTTGTTTCTCAAAGTTCATGTCAATGAACAATGTGGCATTTTATTGGACATAAGCGATATACAGCTACAATAAAGAAGCCTACACTATATATACAGATTTTGTGGATATATTTTATTCTTTATTGCTCAAGATGAAAAAAGGAATAAATGATAATAATATAAGTCTCATTTCTTTTTATTATCAAATAAGCGTTTTGTTTATCTATTTTATTGCAATGTGCATTGGGAGGGGCACAAATGCAATACATATATCATTTCTTAAGTTTTGGGACATATGACCTAGGTGAAAAAGTTTCAACATAAGTTCTGGGACAAAAAAAAAATAATTATTTTATTGTGTCCCAATATATATGGTAAATACAGTAACTTATAAAAGCCAACAAGCATGCCCAGAGCATGTGGCTGCAAAGCCATGGGCAACTATCATGACTTCTATTTCACAGGTGCTTCTACAAGTTTATGTGTTTGAAGCATACTGTGACACTACAGCCTTGACTTAGCTCATTAATTTTATTCAAAGGTTAAGAGCTGAGATACCCTCATACAGAATATTAGGGTCAAGCTCTCACTGCTCTTGAAGACTGACACACACATGTTTAATGAGAAAGGAATCCAAGGTGACTTATTAATGGTGAGCAGCCTAATGCAAAAGTGAACAACCCAATGTGTAGCAACTATGATAGTAAAAAGCCAAACAGCTGGATAATCTGGCCAACAACTTCTAGATTGGCCATAATGCTGAACTGGTGGCTCTAAGTGGGATGACTTGCCAGTTCCAGCTTTGGTAGTGAGATTAACACAATTTCAACTGAATCACCAAAGGGATACATTCTTAAAGTAGACCTCAAGTACCCAGAGGAGCTTCATGATCTGCACAACAAACATTTATGGGCTTCTGGGACCACGATCATTCAAGAGGAGTGGCTGCAAACCTCCAATGCTTCAAATAGCTGAAAGAAAAGATTCCTCACCATTTCAAATGCTTAAGATTACAATAGACCTTCCACTGTCTGAATCAGAAGATTCTCTTGACGGAGCAAGACCTGACAATATCTATAGTCTACTTCTGAAACACATGATATACACTATGCAGTGGCTCTAAATACACTGTTAAAGCCTTTTTAAGGGTATCTAGGAAAATGACAACTTTCCAGTCTTGACAAAAAATACTGGTGCTTTATTTTAGGTCTAAAAACACACCTTCTAACCAAACTTGGTTTCTCTGTTTCAGCTGCCTGACAGCCTGAATGTAACATCTCCCAGTGGCCAGAGTTGCTACAGGTAATGCCATATTTAACTGGAATCACAGCCACTAAAATTAACAATAAATACAAATGTACCATTTATTATAGCCAACTACTCTGCAAGAAATTATTAAATGTATCAAGTCAGAAAATCATGTGCAAATGTAACTTCTCATCTAAAACATAGATAACGTAAATACTTTTTGGTAATTAAATATGGCACTATAATTCATTCACAGAGATGCTTTCATAAAATAGAACATCTTGCTAAGATGACAAATTGTTTGACCTGAAGAAAGCTTATCAAGTTTAAGGTGACCCAAAACTCTGTCACTACAGTAGTCTTATTCCTCCTGTGGAGAAAACCAAATGTTTATTTTTTTTTTTAAAAACTAACTTTCCCTATATTTGATATGTTCTGGACAAATGTCAAAAAGCCCTGGATTTAATAAGAGTCTTTGCAAAGTCACATAGGTGAGTAGATTTGATGGTCTTGCTCTGGTTATAGAGGTTACTCATAAATTTAAACTTAACTATGCCTTGATAGTGTATGGGCCATAAATTTTACCTCCACATGACTGAATGAAACATCAGGATCTTAGACTTTGGACACATTTATAAATTCACCTTCAGCAAGTCTATCTCAGATTAATGAAGTTGGCTCTTCAGTATACCACAAAACTCTTAATCAACTTAATTGCACATATGATGTAGTCTTTTGGCAGCCCAAATACCAAACATTGTACACTCAGAAATCAAACTTCATTCCATCTTTTGGAATAAAACTTTATCCTCACATGGAAACAGCAAAAATCAATGTTGGAAGTATTGGATAATTATGTGTGCCAAAATCATTATATTTGTTATCAATGATTCCCCAAAAAGAATATTTGGTCTTTGCCAATTCAAAAAGTCATCAAAAAATTATTATTTTCAGAGTAAATTCAATGAAAGCAAAGCCTCCTATTGTAACCTTAAGTCTCTGTACAAACAGTTCAAAAGATGAAGAACAAGTTGGAACTGCCATTGCAATAGTTCATGGAACTATTCTGAGCTGGATACCAGATAAAACCTCAATTGTCACTATAGAAATTATAGGCATACTAACAGTTTTGAACAACACTGACACCTTGCAAAACACAAATTTTATCATTTTTTATTTCCTTTCCACATTGAAAGTGGCACTGTTATCAGATGTATAAACTTCAACTATTTTAGGTGAACTGCATGAAGAAATTGTACTTATTTCCACCAATTTTTAAAAAGGACAGAGGTTGTACCATCATTTTGCAAAAAATGAAGTAGGAGGGGGTGATAAAACTAATTTTAATTATGCAATACTTACACATAACTATTGTCTCCCTTTCTTTCTCATGTCAAAATAAAATGTGCAGTCCGTTTGACAAGCATACATCAACCCGCTCAGATGGCCTAGTGGTTCGAGTGTCCGCCTCAGATGTGGGAGGTTGTGGGTTCGATCCCAGTTGAGTCATACTGAAGACTTACATAAATGGTAATAACAGCTGCCTCGCTTGACACTCAGCATTAAGAGGTTAGTGTTAGGACTGGTCCGCCTCGTGTCAGGATAATTTGACTGGGTGGGACAACATGCTACATGTCTGCAGCATGATGCCCTTATGCTAATCATCACTATAAACTGCCACACTGTAGACATTATAGCGATATGACTGAAACACTGTTAAAGCTACGTTAAAAATCATAATCACATCACATCCCATAGAATGAAGAATTGTCAGTATTAACCCTTTCATCACTGTGAATGGTAAAAAAGGTCATGGGGAAGTAAGTCCATAAACACTATGGATAGACTTTCGGTCTGGGGCAGTGTTCTTCTTTAACGTCATAGTACCTGACTAAATAGCTTTCAGGGTACCTCTAATAACTTCCCTCTTGTAATGTAGATGTTATATTTGGATGATCTCGTGAGTTTAGTATACAACTAGAAATAAAAAACAAAGTAGGAACTTTTAATGTGTTTTCTGAATGTTGAAATTTGTATCCAAAATGGCGGCGTTTTTTTTTAGATATTTAAAAGAGTTATCGGAGGATTTGAATAATTTTGACCTGGTAAATTTGGATGAAAATGAGAGAAGACGTATGGAGAGACAACCCCTACGAAAACAAATTCATGACTTCATGAACAATCATGAACATACTTGAAATGTTTATGATCAGTTCATCATTTGAGTTCATGAACAAATAGCCATGAACGTTCATCACCTAAGTTCATGAACACTTCAAGAAATTTGATGAATCAGCTACTTTAGTTCATGAACACAATGATGAACTTTAATGAACTATTATGATATCTTTGAAGTTTCTGAAATGTCATGAATTTGCTTCATGAACAATTCAAGTACTTTGATGCACCATTAAGATATTTCTTAAAAATGTATATGAAATTTCTATATCATTATATTCATAAAATGTTTAAGAAAATTATTCATACAAACTTCTCACAATTTTAGTGAAATATAAATAAAGGTGAATATTTTTTTTAATTATATGATACTGTATAAATGTTCAGAGATCTTTTATTCAATACTTGTGTACTTAACTTGAATAGTTCTGGATTAATATGGAAAAATATTTTTCTGGCCATCACGAACAAAATTGACTTGCTATAAAAAGCATTCAATGACTTTGTTCTAACGTTTTTGACCAGTACTGTTATAAACTGCATATTTTATTGATTTTGTAACTGGTTGCCAAGTTGCAGTAAAAACCAAAATATGTAAGCAACGATTATCCTGATTGGATGACTGTGAAAGAAGACGTGATATGATTGGGTTAAATACGCGTGTGATTTCAGCCGCTGAGCACAAACGAAAGAGTATGCAAAGGGTTTTGCAACAAGCAACAATCTTGAACAAAAATCGAGGACTCCGTGGAATTAACAAATGAGAATATGTTCAATACCATTTCTTTTAAGTACGTAGAAGTGCAGAGAAAGAATTATGAAGGAATTGACTTGGTTAGAGCAAAATTATGCAGAAAAGCGTACTAAGCGGGATCATCAAAATTACGGTGGGTGTATCTTTTTCTCCGTCATTCATTTTTTTTCAATGGGAATTATATGTATAATTTATTGGTTTTTATGTCATCATATCAGTTTTAACCAAACTAATATATCTGGTTTTTGTCAGAACCAATTTAAACTTTCTTTTCGAATTTTTGAAAATCACGAAAATACCCCCACCCCCTTTTTTGATCTCGATACCATACGCGGTTCTGCATCGGTTATATGAATTTATATGTTTGGGATCGTTTTATGTTTCATGACATCACTATTTATCTGATCTGATGTAATTTGGTAAATTAAAACAAAAACAAAAAACTAGTTAATGTGTCAAACTGTACATAATACATGTGCTACTAACGCGATCAAACCTGAAGCAGCTATATGCAACATCCAGCGTCAGAGTAGATACATTTTTATAAAATCATTTGACTCCTGTGACTTATAATACATATGGCAAGACAGCTTAGTTAAAATACAACTAGTGAAATTTCTCCAATAATGTAAATGTGCAGTATTTTATGTATTATGTGTAAGGGATTAAATAATTTTGAGTTGGATCAGTAAAGTTGGGTACAGAAATAATGTGCTAAAAGCTGAAGACAATGTTGATCATAGGTTGTCTGTAATTAACTTTATCTTTCTTTCAGATCAGACAGCAGAAAAGGAAAATTATAAGAGGATGAAGTTTATAAGATAAGGAGGAAAATTAGACAACTGGAGGATCTTACAG